TACACAAGTATCTTAAGGAAGAGCTGTTCCCGATTACAAAATGGCTATTTGACCTTTGAGAATTACTGAATGTGGAACCTCTGTTGACCTGTGACCGGCAGGTCGACGAGGTCACTCCGCGCTACAGCATAGTTCTGGCTCGTGACGTCACTGCTGGTGACTTAACTCATTCTTCTAATAATTAGAATACTCTTGATATTGTACCCAGTAATATTATACAATACAATTTTAATACAAAATGAATGAAGGCTAATGTCTCTAAATAAGTGAATACTATAGAATGATTCCTTATACGAAACTTGTGAACAAAGGCGCCAGTTATTTTCACCGTCAATCCCCCCAGGTCACCACGTGGGTCCAGTTTCCCATTCTCCCATATGTAGATAAACATTCTGGATAATTCTTACAACAAACCTAGTTTGTTACACTGTGTAATTATTATTACCTTGTGAATGATTATTTAAATTGATGAGTAAACAAAGGGTATTGAAGGAGAGGATATGTTTACCTTGATAAGGTGATAGGCTACAGCGGGTCTTGATCTGAAATACTGAGTTTGATGAATATTGCACTAAGGTGAAGGACGGGAGTTGGCGCTCGGTACCTGCTTTGATTTATGTACTACGTCTGAAATATGAATGTTTTAAATTTCAGGGACACTTGACTGATGTTAGTGAATTTTGAGGAGTCATCTAAGGAGGAGGACAAGAGCTGAAACTCGGTAACTGTGTTTTTTTTACTTAGAGGTATGACTGCTTTAAATTTCAGGGAAATTGATGGGATAATAGTGGAGATGTGAGCAGGAACTATGGTGGAGGACAGGAGCTGGAGCTCGGTAACTGAATTTTTGTATTGGGTAACGTCTGAAATACAGCGGTTTTAAATTTCAGGGAAATTGAAAAGGAGAAAAACAAGAGATGAAACTCACTAACTGTGCTTATCTTATATACTACACCTGATATAACTATGATCTAAATCTCAGGAGATTTGGTTGATACTAAAGAAGATACGAGAGGGAACTCAGGCAGGGCTTAGGAGCTAGAACTCAGTAAAAAGCTTTTCTTTTCCTACTATTTCTGAAATATGACTGTTTTAAATTGGACTAAAATTCCGATATTAGTAGCAAATATGCACTTATAAATGCGGCCTCTGTCACATTTTGGTATTAAACTGGACTCTGTCCAATTTTGTCTCAAACTGGACATTGATTAATTTCTGTCTTTAACTGGGCTCTGAATATTTTTGGTTTAAAAAGGTCTCTGACAATATTTTGGTCTAAAAATGGTCTCTGAGTCTTCAACTGTTCTCTGAATACTTTAGGTCTTTTACATAAAAGAGCCAAAAATGGATATAAAAACTAAAAGTCACGGCTAAGAAGTCTATTTTCCTTAACAAAACTTCTATGGCAATATTCTCTGAAAATTGCCTTTTGATCATTTAGAACCCACTAAGGCAGACTAAATGGGTTGATGATGGTACTGACGAACATAGTGGGTTGTTGATGGTACTGGCAGACTCAGTGGGTTGTTGATGGTACTGGCAGACTCAGTGGGTTGTTGATGGTACTGGTAGACTCAGTGGGATGTTGATGGTACTGGTAGACTCAGTGGGTTGTTGATGGTACTGGCAGACTCAGTGGGATGTTGATGGTACTGGCAGACATAGTGGGTTGTTGATGGTACTGGCAGATTTAGTGGGTTGTTGATGGTACTGGCAGATTTAGTGGGTTGTTGATGGTACTGGCAGATTTAGTGGGTTGTTGATGGTACTGGCAGACTTAGTGGGTTGATGATGGTACTGGCAGACTTAGTGGGTTGTTGATGGTACTGGCAGACTTAGTGGGTTGATGATGGTACTGGCAGACATAGTGGGTTGTTGATGGTACTGGCAGACTTAGTGGGTTGATGATGGTACTGGCAGACATAGTGGGTTGTTGATGGTACTGGCAGACTTAGTGGGTTGATGATGGTACTGGCAGACATAGTGGGTTGTTGATGGTACTGGCAGACTTAGTGGGTTGATGATGGTACTGGCAGACTTAGTGGGTTGTTGATGGTACTGGCAGACATAGTGGGTTGTTGATGGTACTGGCAGACTTAGTGGGTTGTTGATGGTACTGGCAGACTCAGTGGGTTGTTGATGGTACTGGCAGACTTAGTGGGTTGATGATGGTACTGGCAGACTCAGTGGGTTGTTGATGGTACTGGCAGATTTAGTGGGTTGTTGATGGTACTGGCAGATTTAGTGGGTTGTTGATGGTACTGGCAGACTCAGTGGGTTGTTGATGGTACTGGCAGACTTAGTGGGTTGATGATGGTACTGGCAGACTCAGTGGGTTGTTGATGGTACTGGCAGACTTAGTGGGTTGTTGATGGTACTGACAGACTCAGTGGGTTGTTGATGGTACTGGCAGACTTAGTGGGTTGATGATGGTACTGGCAGACTCAGTGGGTTGTTGATGGTACTGGCAGACATAGTGGGTTGTTGATGGTACTGGCAGACATAGTGGGTTGTTGATGGTACTGGCAGATTTAGTGGGTTGTTGATGGTACTGGCAGATTTAGTGGGTTGATGATGGTACTGGCAGACTCAGTGGGTTGTTGATGGTACTGGCAGATTTAGTGGGTTGTTGATGGTACTGGCAGACTCAGTGGGTTGTTGATGGTACTGGCAGACATAGTGGGTTGTTGATGGTACTGGCAGACATAGTGGGTTGTTGATGGTACTGGCAGACATAGTGGGTTGTTGATGGTACTGGCAGACATAGTGGGTTGTTGATGGTACTGGCAGATTTAGTGGGTTGTTGATGGTACTGGCAGACATAGTGGGTTGTTGATGGTACTGGCAGATTTAGTGGGTTGTTGATGGTACTGGCAGACTTAGTGGGTTGCTTGTCTCTGATGAGCCGTCAATCCTCATCATTACAGCCTTACTAACATTGACCCCTCACAGGTATGTGCGAGTCAATTAAGATCTAGCGACACTAATGACCCAACCACTTGCACTTCCTTAGTGGACCCCCCATCCCCCCAGTGTAGTGTAAGGAGACTCCGTGCTAGCCGCCAGTAATGGTGTAGTTGACATCCGTCACGTGTTTGAGGGAACAATTAAGAAAGTCACAAGTAATCCTAATTCATTTAATAACATCAGTTCATATTTTTATCAACCACCTTCATGGACCGAAAGGTACAGTTTCTTCAGCCTGTCCTCCTGTTTATGTGGTTCTTATAGTAACGTTGAGGACCATAGTACATATACCGACGTACAACGCAATTAGAAAGTGGAAATTTGTACTGTTGAATTTGGACAAACCGGAAAAGGTTTTGTTCTCATGTTGCTAAGACAAGGTTATCTAAACTAACCTTCCTAAGCCTAATTCACGCCATCTGAGGCCTAATAAAGTGTGTGCAACTAAGCATAGGAATATTTAAGATAGTTTTAAGCTTAATTTTTTCGAACTCAATAACATGATTATTACCAAATTCAACTTATTGCTTAGTAAGTCAATATCTGTACTATGGTGCACATAGTTACAAAAACTACTATCTTAACAGGTGGATGAGTTGATTATCTTACAGGTAAGACAGACAGACAGACAGACACACCTTGAACACACTCAGCAGCGAGAGGAGCGCGGGTCCACCGCCAATATATTGCCTCAACATATTTTTCCTGTGCATTTTAAAGTTGCAGCTCCACACCCAGATTACACGCGCCGGCTCCTGCAACCTGGGTCAATATTGCACACATATGTTGCACATGTTCTGTTATTCACTAAATATACACGTGAATTTTACAGCAATGGCCATGTTTTGGTTGTTAAAATGATCGGTACGAAAATTACCAACAATGAGGGGAACTGTTGTATAATACAATAAGCTGCGAGGTGATGATGTTTATGTGAGGTTCCGAGTGGGCTGTTCTCCTAGGCTCCGTGCAGGCTGTTCCCCTAGGCTCCGAGCGAGCTGTTCCCGGAGCTCCGAGCGGGTTGTTCCCGAGGCACCGAGCGGACTGTTCCCCAGGCTCCATACGGGCTGTTCCCGAGGCTCCGAGCGAGCTGTTCCCAGGGCTCCAAGCAGACTGTTCCCCAGGCTCCGAGCGTACTGTTCCCCAGGCTCCAAGCGGACTGTTCCCAAGGCTCCGAGCGGATTTTTCCAGAGGTTCTGAGTGGGCTGTTCCCAGGGCTCCGAGCGCACTGTTCCCGAGGCTCCGAGCAGGCTATTCTCGGGGCTCCGAGCGTACTGTTCCAGAGGCTCCGAGCGGGCTATTCCCAAGGATCCAAACATACTGTTACCGTGGCTCCGAGAGGACTGTTCCAGCAACCCGTCCTCGACTCAAGTCTAATACATTCAGCGGTCGCCCCCACAGACGCATTCATAAATTTTAACATGCTGTTAATTAAGAACAAGAATTTTTTCAAATATACATTAATATTATAATATATTAGCATATTGTGCATATATATAGATATAGGTTAGGTTAGGTTAGGTGTTTAGGTTCGGTTGGCGATTATTTGCATTTGTAGTACGTGGGTGAAGCATATATAGCGAAGTGGTTCGAACAAAACTCGTCAGTGAAGCACTTGTTTCGGAAGTGTTCGAACGAAATCAGTTGTGAGTCGTGTGTAAACCGTTTTTCATTCATAAACAGGGGGTTTGGCGGGTGCATGGAATCACTTTTGGATCTTTGTTTGGAGGACGGGCTGTCCCAGGGCTCATGGCAGGCTGTTCCCGAGGCTCCGAGCGGGCTGTTCCCGAGGCTCCGAGCGTGCTGTTCCCGAGGCTCCGAGCGGGGTGTTCCTGAGACTCCGAGCGGGCTGTTCCCGAGGCTCCAAACGGGCTGTTCCCGGGGCTCCAAGCGTACTATTCCCGAGGCTCCGAGCGGACTGTTCCCGGGGCTCCGATCGTACTGTTCCCGGGGCTCCAAGCATATTGTTCCCGAGGCTCCGAGTGGGCTGTTCCCGAGGCTCAAAGAGGGCTGTTCCTGAGGCTCCAAGCGGGCTATTCCCGAGGCTCCAAGCGGACTGTTCCCGCGGCTCCGAGTGGGCTGTTCCAGAGGCTCCGAGCGGACTGTTCCCGAGGCTCCAAGCAAACTGTTCCCGAGGCTCCAAGTGGATTGTTCCTGAGGCTCTGAGTGGACTTTTTCCGAGGCTCCGAGCGAGCTGTTCCCGAGGCTCCGAGCGGACTGTCCCCGGGGCTACGAACGGGCAGTTCCTGAGGCTTCGAGCGGGCTGTTCCCGAGGCTCCGAGCGGGCTTTTCCAGGGGCTCCGAGCGGGCTGTTCCAGGGGCTCCGAGCAGGCTGTTTCGGAGGCTCCGAGCGGACTGTTCCCGAGGCTCCGAGCAGACTGTTCCCGAGGCTCCGAGCGGACTGTTCCTGAGGCTCCGAGTGGACTTTTCCCGAGGCTCCGAGTGGACTTTTCCCGAGGCTCCGAACGGGCTGTTCCATAGGCTCCGAGCATACTGTTCCCGAGGCTCCGAGCGGGCTGTTCCCGAGGCTCCGAGCGGGCTGTTCCCGAGGCTCCTAGCGGGCTGTTCCTGGGGCTCCGAGCATACTGTTCCCGAGGCTCAAAGCGGGCTGTTCCTGGGGCTCCGAGCATACTGTTCCCGAGGCTCCGAGCGGGCTGTTCCCAAGGCTCCGAGCGGGCTGTTCCCAAGGCTCCGAGCGGGCTGTTCCCGAGGCTCCGAGCATACTGTTCCCGTGGCTCCGGGCAGGCTGTTCCTGGGGCTCCGAGCAGGCCATTCCAGGGGTTACGAGAAGGCTCTTCTCGGGGCTCTGAGCGAGCTGTTCCGGAAGCTCCGAGTGGGCTGTTCCCTGGGCTCCGAGCGGGCTGTTCCCGGGTCTCCGAGCGGGCTGTTTTCCGGACTCCGAGCGGGCAGTTCCCGAGGCTCCAAGCAGGCTGTTCCCGGGGGCTTCTAGCGGGATATTCCAGGGGCTCTGAGCGGGCTGTTCCCGGGGCTCCGAGCGGACTGTTCCCCAGGTTCTGAGTGGGCTGTTCCCCAGACACCGAGCAGACTGTTCGCGGGGCTCCGAGCGGATTGTTCCCGAGGCTCCAAGCAGGCTTTTCTCGTGGCTCTGAGCGGGCTGTTCCCGAGGCTCCGAGCGGGCTGTTCCTGAGGCTCCGAGCGGGCTGTTCCCCAGGCTCCGAACGTACTGTTCCTGAGGCTCCGAGCGGGGTGTTCCCCAGGCTCAAAACGTACTGTTTCTGAGGCTCCGAGCGGGCTGTTCCTGAGGCTCCGAGCAGGCTATTGTCGAGGCCCCGAGCGAGCTGTTCCAGGGGCTCCGAGCGGGCTGTTTTCCGGACTCCGAGCGGGCAGTTCCCGAGGCTCCAAGCAGGCTGTTCCCGGGGGCTTCTAGCGGGATATTCCAGGGGCTCTGAGCGGGCTGTTCCCGGGGCTCCGAGCGGACTGTTCCCCAGGTTCTGAGTGGGCTGTTCCCCAGACACCGAGCAGACTGTTCGCGGGGCTCCGAGCGGATTGTTCCCGAGGCTCCAAGCAGGCTTTTCTCGTGGCTCTGAGCGGGCTGTTCCCGAGGCTCCGAGCGGGCTGTTCCTGAGGCTCCGAGCGGGCTGTTCCCCAGGCTCCGAACGTACTGTTCCTGAGGCTCCGAGCGGGGTGTTCCCCAGGCTCAAAACGTACTGTTTCTGAGGCTCCGAGCGGGCTGTTCCTGAGGCTCCGAGCAGGCTATTGTCGAGGCCCCGAGCGAGCTGTTCCAGGGGCTCCGAGCGGGCTGTTCACGGGGCTCCGAGCGGGCTGTTCCCGGGGTTCAGAGCGGACTGTTCTTGGGGCTACAAGCTGGCTGTTCTCGTGGCTCCGAGCGGGGTGTTCCCGAGGCTCTGAGCGGGCTGTTTCCGAGGCTCCGAGCGGACACTTTCCGAGGCTCCGTGCGGGCTGTTCCCCAGGTTCCGAGCGGGCAGTTCCCCAGGCTCCGAGCGTACTGTTCCCGAGGCTCCAAGCGGGTTGTTCCCGAGACTCCGAGCGAGCTGTTCCCAGGGCTCCGAGCTGGATGTTCCCCAGGCTCCAACCCGTCCTCGAGTCACGTCCATTACATTCAGCGGTCAACCCCACACACGCATTCATAAATTTTAACATACTGTTCATTCAAAACGGGAATTTTCGCAAGTATAAATTAATATTATAATATATTAGCATATTGTGCATATATAGGTATGGGATAGGTTAGGTTAGGTGTTTAGGTTCTGTTGGCGATTATTTGTATTTGTAGTAGGTGGGTGAAGCATTTATAGCGTTGTGGTTCGAACAAAAATCGTCAGTGAAGCTCTTGTTCTGGATATGTTCGAACGTCAGCAGTTGTGAGTCGTGTGTAAACCGTTTTTCATTCATAAACAGGGGGTTTGGCGGGTGGATGGAATCACTTTTGGATCTTTGTTTGGAGGACGGGCAGCAGGCTCCGAGCGTACTGTTCCCGAGGCTCCGAGCGGGGTGTTCCTGAGACTCCGAGCGGGTTGTTCCCGAGGCCCCGAGCGAGCTGTTCCCAGGGCTCCGAGCGGGCTGTTCACGGGGCTCCGAGCGGGCTGCTCCCGGGGCTCCGAGCAGACTGTTCCTGGGGCTCCGAGCAGACTGTTTCTAGGGCTCCGAGCGGACTGTTCCCGGAGTTCCCTGCAGGTTGTTTCCGAGGCTCAGAGCGGACTGTTCCCGGGGCTCCGAGCGGACTGTTCCCGGGGCTCCGAGCAGACTGTTTCTAGGGCTCCGAGCGGACTGTTCCCCAGGCTCCGAGCAGACTGTTCCCCGGGGCTGCAAGCGGAGTGTTCCCAGGGATCCGAGCGGGCTGTTCCTCAGGCTCCGAGCGTACTGTTCCCGAGGCTCCAAGCGGGGATGTTCCCGAGACTCCGAGTGGGCTGTTGCAGAGGCTCCTAGCGGGCTGTTCCCTAGGCTCCGAGCGGGCTGTTCCTTGGGCTCCGAGCGGGCTGTTCCCGGGGCACCGAGCAGACTGTTCCCGAGGCTCCGAGCAGGCTGTTTGCGGGGCTGCGAGCGGACTGTTTGCGGGGCACCAAGCAGACTATTCCCCAGGCTCCGAGCAACTGTTCCCCAGGCTCCGAGCGGGCTGTTCCCAGGGCTCCGAGCGGACTGTTTGCGGGGCACCGAGCAGACAGTTCCCGAGGCTTCGAGCTGACTGTTCTCCAGGCTCCGAGCGGGCTGTTCCCAGGGCTCCGAGCGGGCTGTTCCCGAGGCTCCGTGCGGGCTGTTCCACAGGCTGCGAGTGAGCTGTTCAGAGACTTTGACCGGTCTGTTCCCGAGGCTCTGAGCAAGCAGTTCCACAGGCTCCGAGCGGACTGTTCCACAGGCTCCGAGCGGGCTGTTCCATAGGCTCCGAGCGAGCTGTTCCCCAGGCTCCGAGCGAGCTGTTCCCTAGGCTCCGAGCGGGCTGTTCCACATGCTCAGAGGGAGCTGTTCCCGGGGCTCCGAGCGAGCTGTTCCCGGGGCTCCGAGCGAGCTGTTCCCGGGGCTCTCAGCGAGCTGTTCGACAGGCTCCGAGTGGGATGCTCCCGAGGCTCCGAGCGAGCTGTTCCACAGGCTCCGAGCGAAATGTTCCCGGGGATCTGAGTGGGCTGTTCCCGAGGCTCCGAGCGAGCTGTTGCACAGGCTCCGAGTGAGATGTTCCCGGGGCTCCGAGCGGGATGTTCTCAGGGTTCCGAGTGAGCTGTTTCACAAGCTCCGAGTGGACTGTTCCCCAGGCTCCGTGCTGGATGTTCCCCAGGCTCCGTGCTGGATGTTCCCCAGGCTCCGTGCTGGATGTTCCCCAGGCTCCGTGCTGGATGTTCCCCAGGCTCCGTGCTGGATGTTCCCCAGGCTCCGTGCTGGATGTTCCCCAGGCTCCGTGCTGGATGTTCCCCAGGCTCCGTGCTGGATGTTCCCCAGGCTCCGTGCTGGATGTTCCCCAGGCTCCGAGTGGACTGTTCCCCAGGCTCCGTGCTGGATGTTCCCCAGGCTCCGTGCTGGATGTTCCCCAGGCTCCGAGCGGGCTGTTCCCGGGGTTCCGCGCGGTTTGTTCCCCTGGTTCCGAGCGGAATGTTCCCGAAGCTCCGAACGAGCTGTTCCTCAGGCTCCGAGCGGGATGTTCTCAGGGTTCTGAGCGAGCTGTTACACAGGCTCCGAGCCAGATGTTCTCAGGGCTCCTAGCGAGCTGTTCCACAGGCTCCGAGTGGGCTGTTCTTAGGGCTCCGAGCTGATTGTTCCCGAGGCTTCGAGCGAGCTGTTCCACAGGGTCCAAGTGGGCTGTTCTCAGGGCTCCGAGCGGACTGTTCTCTGGGCTTCGAGCGGGTTGTTCTCAGGGCTCCGAGCAGGCTGTTCTCAGGGCTCCGAGCTGACTGTTCCCGAGGCTCCTAGCGGGCTGTTCCCGAGGATCCGAGAGGGCTGTTCTTAACTCTCAGAACTCTTAGGAGCCATGGATTCTCAGAAGCCAGCGACTCTCTGGAGTCAGGGACTCTCTAGAGCCAGGGACTCTCAGGAGCCAGGGGCTCTCAGGAGCCAGGGACTCTCTGGAGTCAGGGACTCTCAGGAGCCAGGGACTCTCAGGAGCCAGGGACTCTCTGGAGTCAGGGACCTAGATTCACGGAGCTCCATGTATTTCTTCGTAAGTGGGTTTGCGACGAAGGTTCCTGTGTGTACCCTAAGAAGATGCTTAGGTGCGATTCATGTAGGTCCACTTAGGAAGGTTCTGGGTTCTGGGTCTGGTTCACCTGCATGCCGATAGAGGTCACTACTGTGTTTCGTTTGCCATTCAGAGAGCAGGCAACATTCTTCATATTGAAGATTTAGCGCTGGCTTATCGGAGCTCTACTGCCTCCTATTTACGTCGAATTTTCTTTTAAATTAGTATATTTCGAAGTAAAACAATGTTTTTTCAACTTCTACAGCCAGCACCGACATTGTAGTAAACAAATATGTTACATTTGTTGTTTACCTACGTTATTCTAAGAGATACTGTGTAGCTGTCCTTGTTGCTCGGAAGATTCGCTGACAATTATTGTATATATTTACTGAATTTACCCAAGGGCCACTAACTATCTAGTGGCCTCGACGAGGACAGAAAGCCGGCGGCTTGTTAAAGGGCCTGCCAATTGTCTTAATGATATTTTTAGCTGGAATTTGGCATTTACGGCTTCAGTGGGTAGACGGTTCCATGGGCTTATAACTCTCTTGGTGGAAAAAACATGTTTTCAGTCCTACTTGAGACGACATACTCTCCAATACTATATCTGTGATTGCCCTGTTATGAGCGACTTCATACCAAATGGTATGAGGTACTTTGAGCTCTGTAAGTACTTCATACACTCAGGAATATTGGAAGATATTCTTGTACTGCACCCAAATTTTGCCAGTGGAGGCTAATAGATCAGCCTTAAGTATTTTATTCTCTCCTGATTACATGTATGACTGGCCATCCTGTGAGGTGAGGATGTTGGATGAGCTTGTAGCTGTTTTTTTATCTACACTGTGTGGTCCTTCATACAAAACAGTTAAGCAGCACATTGCAGTGTATACCTAAACATGCGGTGTACACTCTCAAACAAATACATTGTTTGAGAGGAGTCTTGTAGAAACTGGTAAGAGTAATTATAATATAATGTTCCCATGATTCAGTGCTTACCTCTTGTGAAAATCGTGAAGAGTTGTTTAGTCAGAGTTGATTTTTTTTGTATTGAGGCTGGTATTTTGTACCTTGATTCCATGTATGTCTAACCATCCTGTGAGATGGGAGTATTAGATAAACTTATAGCTATTTTTTTATCTACACTGTGTAATATTCCATATAGAATAGGGTAGCAGCACATTGCTGTGTATACCTAATCTTAATAAAAAAATCAGTAATAAAGATTTTAAATTATAGTTTGTATTATTACAAGTACTGTATTATCCTTATTAATTCATGTTAACCATGGATCATTAAGATCTCATGTTGATATGTAATAGTCATATTTCTTTTGAACTGCTAATCCATGCTAATAATTTTTTAATCAATCATTAAATTGTGCATTATGTCTCAAACTTTAACTTCCTTGGATATACTGTACAGTACAAAAAGATAGGATAAAAATAAACCAGTAATAATTCTTTCATTATATATTTTTATTTAAATAACTACATCAATATTTTTACAGCTGACATGATTTGTTTTACCATACAGGTGCATTATTTGTTAAAAAAAATTGGTTTATTGTTACACACAATGTTGCTACATAGCCTTCCCATCTTGGTGCCTTCTTTTAATACCTACTTACTGATTAATATATAAATAATAATAAATAAATTTTATTCAGGAAAAGTACATACAGTTGATTTACAAACATAATGTTGGATTTATAGACAGAGCTAGTACATACAATACCTAAAGCCACTAATACTCATAGCTTCCGGGCA